CTTCTCTAAAGCTGATGAAACTGATAATTGGGCTGCAGGTAAAACGCAAGCTCCGGTTAGATCATCTACATTTGGGTCTAATTTCGGTGATTCAGGCCGTGAATCTGACCGTTGGTCTAGAGGAGTAGCCGTAGGTGGTGTTCAGGAGGAACGTCGTCGCTTAGTTTTGGAACCACGAAAGGTTGAATCAGTAGTGAGCGAGACTCCATCTGCTGCTGTGAAAACGAGTAAGCCGAGTCCATTTGGAGCAGCTAGACCAAGGGAGGAAGTTTTAGCGGAGAAAGGTTTGGATTGGAAGAAGATTGATTTAGAGATTGAGGCTAAGAAAGGAAGTTCTCAAACGAGTAGACCAACGAGCGCACATTCGAGTAGACCTTCTAGTGCTCAATCTAACAGGTCTGAGAGCTCTGGATTGAATAATGTGGTGAAACCGAGACCAAAGGTGAATCCTTTTGGCGATGCAAAACCTCGAGAAGTGTTGTTGGAGGAACAAGGGAAAGATTGGCGTAAGATGGATATGGAACTCGAACATCGCAGGGTTGACAGGTCTTTGTTCATCTGGATTTCTTTTTTAACTTTTACTGAGGATTGTGGATTTGTTTAGTTGCTGCAGTTTTGTGAATGTTGAGAATTTTGAAGTAATATTGACTGCTTGATACATTATGCCACAAGTCTTTTTATGTAGTTGGATGAGTTTTGGAGAGTTATATTTATGGAGCTGGTAACTTAAAATAGATTATCATTTCTGGTTTAGGTTTAAGAACTTCAGTGGCAATTATTTGAAGGGTTTCTGTGTAGTTTAGTTATAGAGGCTTCGTGGTTTTCTTCTGGTGACATGATATTAAGCGTTATATGAGTTTTTGATCTTGCCGCATGATGTGAAGTTCTGAATATGTGTGATACTCAGTTGCATTTCTTTGTCATATTCATCGATGTTCTCTCAATGGAGCTCTATTGGCAGCAGTGATTGTTTTTAATATTCAGCCTCTTAGTGCATTGATTGAGTTTCAAAGCCTGTTAGATAACTTCTGCTTGTTTCTCTTGGGTGTTACCGAGCTGGAATTTTCCTTTGGTTTTATGCATACTATAGTAACCATGTTTTGAGATGCATCTTGTGTGATTCTTATGTTATGAACTCTATGATACTTTTCTTTTTTTAGCTTTACGACAATCAGTTATTGATCTTTGTGTTGTGAAAACCAATTTTTCCAGGCCTGAAACAGAAGAAGAGAAGATGTTGAAGGAAGAGATTGAAGAACTTAGGAAAAAACTCGAGAAGGAATCCATTGCTCCAGAGATCAAGGAATCTGAACAAGAACCTGGCAGTAATAATAATCACCATGATATACCGGAAACTATATGTGGGAAAGAGAAAGATCTGGAAAGACTAACCCGTGAGTTGGACGACAAAGTCAGGTTCAGGCAGAAACCAGTTGAGAGACCTGGGTCTGGTGCAGGCAGAACCGGTTCATATTCAGAAAGAACACATTCCCGGTCTGGATCAGTCGATGAATCCAGAAGCTTTGAATCCACAGAGAGACCCAGATCACGTGGCGCTGTCGATGCCTGGGTTAGACCCGTTGATGATCAGCGAAGAAACTTCCAAGGAAGCAAAGAGCGCGGATTCTTCAGCAACAGGTTAGTAAGTCTCAAAACCCTCCATGGAAGTTTAAGTGTTTGCATTTAGGTTTATATCTTTTAAGTCTAACCAAATGGCGAATCTGTGTCTGTTAATTTCTGAAATCTCGGGTTTCGACAGGTCATCATCGGCTAGGGAAGGATGGTAAGAAAGAATCGAAGAAACAAGCAAATGTTGGATGGTTAGCTACTACACATTTCCCAGATTTTGAAGAAGACTTAGAGAAGCGTTTAATTTAATAAAATTTATCATCTCCTTGGAAACAAACCCTAATATTTGTTCTTTTTTTTTTTGTGTGTGTCCATCTTCGGAATCGGAGCCTCGTTGTTTTGTTTGTCTTCTGCTCAGCGAAGGCGTGTATCACAAGAGAGTGTGTCTCTTATGTTAAATTTTTAAGACTTTTCCAAATCTTGATTATTATATTTTTTGTAGTTAATTATGATTTCTCAATCCCATCTCTTATGTATTTTTAAACACAATTTCTTGCCAATAACCCAAATTGTATTAAAAATGCAAATTCACAACAAGAAAGACAAAACGACAGTTCTGACCATAAACCTAACAGAATACAACAGAAAGAACACAAAAACTCAAAGCTTACACATACTTCCCTCTATACTTTGGTTTTGGATCTTTAAAGGTTTTGGAATCAGTGTGAATCTGAGAAGAATCAATGGGTTTAAACACAGAGGAATGAATATTACCATCCTCTAACCACTTGAGATGATTCTTTCTAAACTCTAAATGCATTAAACGAGCAGCTTCTTCAATTTCGTCACTATAAGGCTCTACTTTCACCATGGTTAACAAAACCCGACTGTACCGCGAGCTTAAGATCTGTTCAGAGACAGCGACCAACTTGAAACACGGATGCTCGGGAAACTTAACCTCGCCGCCATTGTCATCTCTCAAAACAGGGAAGAAAAAGACGAGCCTGCCTTTCATCACCAGCATTCTTGCAGCAAGGTGAAGCAGATCATGAACACACTCCACTAGACTATATGCACCAGTGGATGGAATGTGATCTGTTCTTTTGTCATCAGGGACAGTGTAAGGATCTACTGTCCCTCTAAGGATTTTGCGGCCACCAGATTTACGTCCACAAGCTCGAACACCATAAGGTGGATCACAGATAATTGCATCAAAGATCTGGACCGATGGATACAGAAGACATAAACGGATGATCTCGACTCAATAAGCCAGTAATAATAATGAAAGAGCTGAGAGAGAGTATTACCTCCTTTAGCCCGGAACGCCAAGGAGGAAGATTATTATCCATTCTAAGCAAAGCAACTGGCATAGGTAGTCCATACTGCATAGGCGATAATACATGTAAGAATCCGAGATATTGAACTGAAAGAACGAAATAAAACATGAGAAGTTACGGTACTAACCTGCTTGAAATTGCTCCAGACATTACAGTCTGGACCACGTCCATCACGCACTACTCTGATATCGATATCCGCACCCTAATACAAGAACTCTTTCATCAGTCTGAGATCCAGAAACTGCAACAGAAAAGGGTATCAAGAAAAGAAACTAAGGTGGTTGCAAACCATTGTCATTGCGCCAAACCGAGCAGCAGAAACAAGAATGCTCCCTGTACCTACGAAAGGATCATACACAAGTTTTCCCGATGTAGCTTTTGCTTGATTAGCCATTAAGAAAGCCATTTCAGCATCCATAGCAGTCGGGCCAAGGTAAGTCCGAGATTTCAACTGAAATGTCGGTAAAAGCTTCCTATCAGCAAAACCAACCTCCCTCCCAAAAAAGATTCTTCTTTGCACAATAGGTGGAAGTCCATTGTTCTCTTCAGATTCATCCATTTCCATTAGAAAAAAGTTGTGATCTGGGTTTTTCAAATCAACCTTACCCTGCAATGACCAAATCACCAAAACATCATCATATACGTGAATAGGCACCAAAAGAGACTAAAGAAAGTTTCTTCCATGGAAATGGGAATTAGAAACCTCGAACGGGATATAAGTAAACGAACGAATACGATCATTCTGCTCCTCGAAAGTCATAGCCTTTCCAAAAGTTTCAACGGAGATCCTAAAGGTGGAACCAGAAGTGAGAAATGGAAGCTTCCGAGAATCAGGGTAGCTTTTAATGGACTCTTCAAGCTCCTCATAGCAAGTTCCTTCACCCCAAAGCTCATACATTCCTTTAACCAAAATACCTGCACTAACCCAATTTGTGTTTTAGGTTTTGAGAAACAAACAACAACAACAAATTCATGAAGAAAAAGGTAAAGAGAAAGGAACCATACTTCTCTTGGCGATGTTAGTGGCGATTTCTTCAGAAGAAAGTTGAACAAAATGGAATGGAGTATCGTTATGGTGATGTTGAGGAAGTCGCCATTGAAGAGACTCATTCTCTGCAATCTCTTCTCCGAATAGCTCAGCTAAAGCTTCAACCTCTGGCTTCCTGAAATCTAACAGTCTGTGATAGAATACACAGAGAAACCACATCTCTTCTTTACCCCCAAAATCCAAAACCCTAATTCGTCTAGAGGACCTGAG